ATTCCTCCCACCTTTGTTTCTTTTACTGGTTCTTTTGTATCTCCTTTTAGCCTCTGCCTGTTAACATCAAAGTGCTTGACTCAGGACTTGGATTTCTTTTCTTCTCTATCCATTCCCACAGTCACAGTAACCTCATTTAGCCTCATGGCTTTATTTATTTTTTTCTTCGAGACAAAGTTTCACTATGTCACCCTTGGTAGAGTTGCCAAGTGCTGTAGCATCACAGCTCACAGTAATCTCCATGTCTTGGGCTTAATCAATTCTCTTGCCTCAGCCTCTCAAGTCACTGGAACTACAGGCACTCACCACAATGCCTGGCTATTTTTGTTACAGTTCTCATTGTTGTTTTAGCTAGCCTCGGTCGGGATCGAACCCACCAGCCTTGGTGTACGTGGCTAGTGCCATAACCACTGTGCTATGGGCACCGAGCCAGCCTTATGGCTTTAAATGTCATCTCCCAAGTTGATGACTTAGAAATTCATATTCAGACCATACCGTCCCCCTGAATAGACTCCCATGTATTCAGCTGTCAAGTAGACATTTCTACTTAGATGGTTAATAAGCATCCAAGCTTAACTACCCCAAACTGAGCTCCCCACCTTCCTCACATACCTGCTTTTCTTGTGGTTGTCCCCTGTAAGTGGCAACTCCATTTTTCCTGATGCTTAGGCCACTCCACACTGTCCTTCTACCTTCAAAATACAAACAGAATCTGGCTAGGTGCAGTGGTTGCCACCTGTAATCCTAGCACTTTGGAAGGCTGAGGTAGGAGGATTCCTTGAGCTCAGGAGTTCAGAGACCAGACTCGGCAAGAGTAGAGATGAGACCCTGTCTCTACTAAAAAATAAAAAATTAGCCGGGTTTTATAGCAGGGGCAGGTAGTCCCAGCTACTTAGGAGGCTGAGCCAGGAGGATCACTTGAACCCAGTAGTTTGAGGTTGCTGTGCACTAGGCTAACACTATAGCACCCTAGTCTGGGCAACAGAGTAAGACTGTCACAAACAGACAACCTCCTCCCCCAAAACCAGAATCTGCCTGCCTCTCACTCTTGCCACTGCTTTTGTCTGTTTCATCATCTTCATCATCTCTTGCCTAAATTCTTGTAATAGCCTCTAATTAGTGGTCCTCCACCTTTTTAGCACCAGGGACCACTTTCATGGAAGACAGTTTTTCCTCAGAGGGTGGTAGGGGCAGGGGGGTGCATTAGATCATCATAAGGAACACACAGGGCATGGGCAGTTTAGAGTAAGGTTTGGGCTCCTATGAGAATTTAATGCTACTGCTGTTGATGATGTAGCAGGAGGCAGAGCTCAGACGGGGATGTGAGCAGTTGTAAATACAGATAAAGCCTAGCTTACCTTGCCAGCACTTATACCCTGTAGTGCAGTAGGGGAAATGGCTTCCCTCCCTTCTCTGTACTATCATCCCCTACAGCCTATTCTCAACATAACAGCCAGAGTGATCTTGGGACCCTAAATTGGACTGTGTCCCTCCTCTATTTGAAACCCTCCTGCAACTTCCCATCATTCTCATAGTAAAAGTTAAAGTCCACACAAGGTCCCTCACACCAGTTGGTCCTTCATTGCCTCTCCTGCCTGTACTGCTCAGTCTCTGGCCTCAGTTTCAGGCCATCATCCCGTGCTTGTAGACTTTTTAACTGCCTGGAACATTCTTCCCCAGATGTCCTCAAATGTCAGCATTTAGAGAGGTCTTTCCTCACCTCTCTCTCTAAAATGACATCCTTCTTTCTTCCCCCTGACACCATCCCCTCTTCCTTACTTTTTTCCCCTTAGCACTAAGAAAACTGTATTACTTACTTGGTTTGTAATCTCCTTCTCCCACCATAACATACACTCCATGAGGACAAGGATGTTTGTCTATTTTGTTCACTGCTATATACTCAGCACTTAGAATACTGCTTAGCATATAATAATCACTTGATAAATAATGATTGAATAACTTAATAAGTTATCTACTCTCCATAATAACAATAAAATATGCAAAGACAGTCACCCAAGTATAACCAAGATGAAATAAAATAATATGGCAACAATATGGCATATTAACATAACATAATGAAAGATGAACCCACGAAGCATTAAAACACAACTAACCAAACGAAATGCAATTAAGAACAAGAAGAAAAGAGCACAGCAAAAGACAAAGTGCAAAACAAGTAAGAAAACAAAACTCAACAAATAAAATTCTTAACTTCTTCACAACTAATTCATGCTATTAATAAAAACATTTACTGGCTAGGCGCAGTGTCTCATGCTGTAATCCCAACACTTGGAAAGGCCAAGGTGGGTGGACTGCCTGAGCTTATGAGTTTGAGATCAGCCTGAGCTATAGCAAGACCATGTCTCTATTAAAAAAAAAAAAAAAAGCCGGGCATTGTAGTGGCTTGAATCCAAGAGTTTGAGGTTGTTGTGAGTACACCACGGTACTCTACCTAGGGTGACCAAGTGAGACTCTGTCTCAAAAATAAATAAATAAATAATAAAAATATATATTCAATAAAATAAAAGCTTGACTATGAGATGATAAATAGTTCTAGAAGATGAAAGGAGTTTGGAGGATAAAAGAAATAAATTGAAAGGCCAGGCACAGTGGCTCACGCCGGTAATTCTAGCACCCTGGGAGGCTGAGGCGGGTGGACTGCTTCAGCTCATGAGTTCGAAACCAGCCTGAGAAAAATCGAGACTTGTCTCTGCTAAAAATAGAAAAAGTGAGGCAAGAGGATTGCTTGAGCCCAAGAGTTGGAGGTTGCCATGAGCTAAGATGCCACGGTGGCACTCTACCCAGGTCTCAAAAAAAAAAAACCAAAGAAATTGAGAACAACAATATATCATCACAACATGTCTGATACATGATGCATTAGAAATAGCAAGAAATAAAATACTGCAGAAAATAAAATCGTGGACATAAAGACTGGACATAGTCATGGTGAATAAAGATGGAAGACAATGAAAAAGAAGCAGAGAATGGATAAAATAAAAAATAAAAATAGTCTAACATAAAGCTTTTTGGTATTCTTTTTTTTTTTTTTTTGAGACAGAGCCTCAAGCTATCCCCAAGGCATCAC